GGGCTCTGGGCCGGGGGTGGCCGGGGACACAGGAGCGGCGGCCGCGGAGCAGCGAGCAGCGCGGCGCGGAGCCTCGACGGCACCTCGCTGCATGGAACCGGGCTGCTGAGGGCAGTGGGCGCGGGACAGCGGCCGACCCTTCCCGGATCCCGGTGCCGAGCCTGCTTGCTGTCTCCCGGCAGCCTGCGGGCGTCCCCGGGTCCCTGGGACCTGGCCTTCTGGTCGCCCAGCCATGGAGCGGTGCAGCCGCTGCCGTCGCCTCCTCCTGCTCCTGCCTCTGGTGCTGGGGCTGAGCGCTGCCCGGGGCTGGGCAGGTAAGAGGAGCCGGGACGCTGCGGGCCGGTTGTCCGAGGCAACTTCAGCTCTAAGCAGCCGGGGCGGGGACCGCTGATGCCTGGGGCAGGAGTTTCTAGGAAGGGGACCTGGGTGTCTAGGTTGGAGGCAAGACCCTCGGCTCCCGAGAGCCGGAATACGCATCTCTCCCTCCTTGAAGAGACTGGAGAAGGGCAGGTGAGGCTTCTGGGAAGGGCAGGGACCACCACAGAGAGCCCTGAGCGGGGCTGGATGCTTGCCTGTGTCCTCGGAGAGACCCGAAGACGGCCAGGGCCAGTGTGCGCCAGGCTTAGCGCATGTTGCCTGTGAGGGAGGAGGGGTGGGCATCCCTGGGACGGAGCAGAGCCTCAGAAGCAGAGAAGGAAGGATGTCTCGATTGTCTGTCCCACCGGCAGGGAGGCCAGGGTCCCCTGCCCCCTCCCCGTGCCCTCGATGCTGCCACGCGGCTGGCTCTGGGGAGCTCTGGGGCCAGCTGCCAACAGGACGGCCGCTGGACAGGCCGGGATCAGGTGTCTGAGGCCGCAGCCAGCTCTCTGCATTCCTGCCCCGCCCCTCCCCCTCAGGCCAGTGGGCTCCCCTGGGACCCTGCTGTCCACAGCCCCGATCTTTCCTTTCCTTCCCTCACAGCACCCAGAAGTCCTGGTTCCTAAGAAAGGGGCTTTGATGTCAGAGCAGGCGGCTGAGGCAGCGCTCGGTCCTAGGCAGGCTGGAGTGAGCCCCTCGACTCTTGGGAACACTAGGGGCTGTTTTGTATATAACTTGACTATTCCTTTCTTCTGTGTTCTGGAGAGAAAATAGAATGGCAGCATAAAGGACTTAGATTAGATTACAGAAAGAACTTCCAAGCTCCGGGGAGTGGGGCTCAGGCGCAGTGGGTTGTTACTGATCTAGGAGCCTTTCTTAGGGGGAAAGAAGCCCCTGTCAAAGACGGCCAAGATGACTGTCCTTATTTTGGGCCTGAGCTAGTGGAGGGGGAACTCCAGGGAGATGGGTTACCATGGAATCCTGAGATTAGGGATGGGGCGTTTGGTGGCTCAGAGGTCCAGAGGTGTGGGCATTCGGTGCCAGCGGGGAGCTGCAGGGCAGATGAGCCCCAGGACGGGGTGGAGGGGGAGTTTGTGGCTTGTGGTGGGAAGAGGGTGCACAGGAGGGACTGTCCTCTCCCAGGCTGCGGAGGAAGGTGGGGGCCTCCGAGGTCTCCTTGGCCTGGGGTCTCTGTGAGTCTCTGTGTCTCTGTCTCGCTCACCTTGGTCTCTCAAAGCGGCCCTTGTGTGTTGATGTTTGCGGAGCTGCCACACGCAGGGGCCAGGCTCGGGCGGGGGCGGGGGGTGGCCCGTGGTTTCCCGGCCGCTGGACTCAAAGGGCCTTTTCTCTGCTGCCCGCCCCACCTCAACCACCCCACCCCGCTGCGCTCTCCCGATGGCTGTGGCCTCTGCCCTGCCCCACACTTCTCTGAACGTTTTGCTGGAACTCGCTTTGGGATTTTTCCAACCTGGAGCTGATGGTGTGAGACGTGTGTGACTCGGGGAGCAAGCCAGGGAGAGGCGACCTTCCGTCTTCTAGGGAGCCTGGGCCGGCAGTGAGGTCCGGGTAGAGCAGGCTGGCAGCCTGGCTCTGGGCTCTTTGGATCTCAGGTGGTGGGGGTGGCAGGGAGGGTTGAGATTCCAGGTGTGGGGAGCTTGCCCGGGTTTTGGGCAAGGACTCTGATGGGATCTACAGATGTGTGGCTCTGGGCCCTGGACCTGCTCCTGTTCGGCGTGGCAGCTTCAGCCCCCAACCCCGTCCCTAGCAAGGGGCAGGGCTCCCGGGACAGCTCTTCCCGGTGTCTCCTTCCTCAGCATGGGCCGTGTTGTCCCCACATCCCCGAATCAGGATGGGGAGCGGCTGGAAGCCCCCTCCCGTAGAGCTGGCTCCCTGCTCTCTCCCTGGTGGCCCCCCTGCCCCTCCTGTGCCCAAGATGATAGATCGCCCAGATGTTGTTTGTGCTGGAGACGGGACAGACGCCAGAAACAGAGACAGGAGATAATGGAAAGGGAATGGGAGGGACGGGAAAAGATGGGGAGACAGGAGGACGGACAGATGTGAGGGAAATGGAGGGAGAAAGAAGACACAGGACAGAACAGCGAGCAGGTGCAGAGACAGAAAGACCAGCAGACACAGAGCGAGGGAGACAAGATGCAGCCAGAGGCAAGCGGGGTATTAGGAAGTATTCGTAGAGACTCCTAGCTGGAGTGCCAGAGACAGGAGCAAAGGAGTGAGCGGGCCTGGCGTCCCGGACGGTGCAGGACAGCCCTCCCCGTCAGGTAGCTGTTTCTCATCCGCACAGAGGATAGTAAGGGGGTTGTGACTTTCGGCTCCCAGGGAATTTGAGCCTTAAGAAGCCAAGTTCTAGGTGACCGGCTCTTCTCTCAGGTGCGCCCCCTGTGGACGTGCTCCGGGCCCTGAGGTTCCCCTCCCTTCCTGACGGTGTCCGGAGGGCCAGAGGCATCTGTCCGGCTGATGTGGCCTACCGCGTGTCCCGGCCTGCCCAGCTCAGCGCACCCACCCGCCAGCTCTTCCCAGGTACGGAAGAGTCAGGATGGGGGCCCGGATGGGGCGGGGTCCGGGATCGCACCCGGAGGGAGGGGTTGTGTCTTTCTTTGCCTCTCACTCTGTGTGGTGTGTGTGTCTCTCTCTCTCGGGTACCAGGAGGCTTTCCCAAAGATTTCTCTCTGCTGACTGTTGTCCGGACCCGCCCTGGCCTCCAGGCGCCCCTCCTGACTCTCTACAGTGCCCAGGGTGTCCAGCAGCTGGGCCTGGAGCTCGGCCGACCTGTCCGCTTCCTGTACGAGGACCAAACCGGGCGGCCTCAGCCCCCGGCTCAGCCGGTGTTCCGCGGCCTCAGCCTTGCGGACGGCAAGTGAGTCGGTTGGCTTCTCTGGCTGCCTGGCCCACACTCTCAGGAGAAAGGGCCCCAAGATCCCCAGCCCCTAACCTGGGAAACCCTGAGACCTTTTAACCATGTAACACATATGCCCCGTCCAGATGCCAGTCACGCCGGGCCGGAGCTGGGCTTTGGAGTTGTTTCCTCATTTCGTATATAGCACTAGGCTCTCCCATGGGCAGATTCCTTAACTTTTTTGAGCTTCATTTTCTAGGTTTGTAAGATAGGTATGATAGGATAGAATCATGACAGTCAAATGCTCGGTGCCTGGGCCTGTAAGTGCGCAGTGTGCGGTAGCTGCCGTTTTACTGGCTTCAGCTCTTCCATCAGCCGCTCCCGACCCTGTTGATGTCCCCCTTCCAGTCCGTCACTTGAACCTGTCCCTGCCCGCAACCAGGTGGCACCGCGTGGCTGTGGCTGTGAAGGGCCAGTCTGTCACCCTCATCATTGACTGCAAGAAGCGAGTCACCCGGCCTCTTCCCCGAAGTGCTCGTCCGGTGCTGGACACCCGCGGAGTGGTCATCTTTGGGGCCCGCATCCTGGATGAAGAAGTCTTTGAGGTAAGCAGCCCAGTGTGAGAAAGGAGCGATTTCTGGTGCTGTATCTTGTGCCCAGTCTGCCTGTGGCTTCTTCACTCCATCTTCCTATGCCCCGGGCCTTCATTTCTTCTCTTAGGGATTTTTATTTCTAGTTCCCATTTTAAGGGCTAATTTTTTCTGTGAGAGAGCCGGATGCCCATGTATCTAGATGGACTGTCCACAGCCACTTCGCTGTCATTCAGTCTTCATCTGTCCCCCTATCTCTTCAACCGATGTATTCACCCACCGGCTCATCCGCCAGTCACCCACCGATCCACTTGTGCACACTCTTCGTATCTCCACCCATCACCCACCACTCAGCACTCACACAACTACTCCCCTACCCATGCATTTAGGCTTTGTCTACCCACTTGGCCATCCTTCCCTGACTCAACCAATCCCCCCTTCAAACTACCCACTTATCCATCAATCTGTCCATCCTCTTCAACCTATCCATCCGTCTATTCACTCAGCCATCCGCCCACCCTCTCCATCTATACACGCATGCCTCCATTTACCCAGCCAACCACCTGCACTTCTATGCATTCACCCACCCATTTCCTCTCGCACCTGCTCCCGTGAGCCATTCATTTACACATGTATTACATTCCATCCATCTATCTGCCCACCAGTCTGCATCCGTCTGCTCTGTGCCTTCCATTCATTTACGCACCAGTCTACCGTTCCATTCATTCATTCACTAACCATCAACACCCCCATTCAGCCACACACTTGCACCCCCACTCACTCATCCACCCGTCCAGCCACCCACTTATCCATTCTTCTATCCATTCTACCCAACCAGTCAGCATTTTCTAAACACCTGATGACCAGGACAATAACATAAGGTCTCTATCACCCCAAGGAATTCCCAGTTTGCCTTTGGAGATGAGACACTGTCCCCCCAGTGCAGTGTAAGGCAGGTGCCTAAGCATCAAGTGTGGACCCAGGTAAAGGGCACTGGGATTGAGATGAAGGCTCTCCTGCATTTCTAGTGGTCCTGAGAATTCCCGTCATCACTGCCATGGTGAGGCCAGGGAAGCTAAGGCTGGGCCTCTGTCTTCAGAAACCCTTGTGAAAAGGCCTCTGCAGCACCACGGGGCCAGGGAGTAGGTGAAGTGTTGAACTTGAAATCAGAAGGCCTGGGGCTGGGGATTTAGCTCAGCGGCACAGCGCCTGCCTGGCAAATGCAAGGTCAAGAGTTCAATTCCCGGTACCAGAAAAAAACAAAAAACAAAAAAAAAGAAATCAGAAGGCCTGAGTTCTAGTCCTCACGCTGCTGCTCCACATGGCCTTGGGCCAGTAATCTGATTCGGAATGGAGTGAGTCTAAAAATGGGTAAAAAGGTCCTTGTTCTACTGACTTTCCAGGGGTCATGAAGGTCCCGTGAGATCCTTTGATCCTCAAGAGTGCTGGGCACACAGAGGGCTGGCAGAGACCTTCCTGCTACACAGCTCCACCTGGGATGGGTCCCAGACTCAGTCCCTCTGAATCGCTGTCCCTCCCTCATCCATTTCCTTCCTCGTGTCTCGGCAGGGCGATGTCCAGGAGCTTGTCGTCGTTCCTGGAGTCCAAGCCGCCTATGAGTCCTGCGAACAGAAGGACCTGGAGTGTGAGGGGAGCCGGAGGGAGAGACCGCAGAGCAGACAGTCCCACCGGGCCCAGAGGTCTCCGAAGCAGCAACCACCACGGCTTCACAGGCCACAGAACCAGGAGCCCCGGCCACAGGTGAGGGAGTTGGGCAAACTCACCGCGGCAGCGCACTCCGGGGAGGGCGGACACCCAGGCCTCTCCCCAGGGCCCTGCGTCCCGAGCTCCCACCCTGCCGTGGCTCCCCTTCTCCTCTCCTTAGCTCCTCTCCCCACCCACACCTCCCTCCCCTCCCGCCCCCTCCCAGTCCTCATTCCTCAACCTTTTTATTTTCATTTAAAAATAAAAAGTTGTTATGCAGACCTTGTGGCTGGGAGCTGTGTTCCCTGCTTGTGTCTCATCCTCTGCCAGTCTTCCTGGATCTGTGTCCCGTCCCTTTCTTGAATTAAGAGATTGGGTGACAGTGGGGCGGGTGAGCCTCGAGCCTCGGGGAGGAGGTGGGGGAGCAGAGGGGGGGAGAAGCGAGAAAGAAACTGGGAAGGGAAGAGCCAGGAGGAGGAGGGGAGGGCAGCAGCGGAGGGACCCCATCTGCGGAAGTGTGGGTGCCCCTTCTATGCGGAGGTGGGAAGGGAGACTGAATGGGGGGCCTGGGGGGTTAGGGTGACAGAGAAGAGCTTGGGTTGTGGTCTGAAGTCTGAAGGGTCAATCTCTTAATCACGCCTGCTTCTGTCCCATGCGTGGGACCCACTTTCTTCTTCCCTCCTCTCCCCACCCCACCTTACCTCAACCTCTCCTTTATCCTCAATTCTCTTTTCCCTTTGCCCTCCTGTTTCCCGACCCCCACACCACCTCTCCGGCTCCCTTCCCCCCCCTCCAATCATCCCCCCTTCCTGCCTATCCACCCCCCCCCCCCAGTCCCAGCCCTCTGAGTCTCTTTACTATGACTACGAGCCTCCCTACTACGATGAGATGACCACGGGGACAACCCCTGATTATCAGGTAAACTTGAGGGACTCCTGCATGCCCCCCTTCCTCCCCCATTCCCCTCTCCTAGGCCATCTTCCTTCCCTCGCCAGTTTCTGGGGAGAGACACCCTGTGTTTAGATTTTGAAGGTTTGCTTACCGCCCCTCCCCTGTCTCTCTGCTGCAGCGGCCTCAGAGCCCCAACCATGGGGCTCCCCCTCCCCCCGGGGGGCTTCGGACCCCTCCCCGAAAGTCTAACCCACCTGCCAAGAGGTCAGCGGCCCGGCAGGCGCCCCCCTCACCAGGCCGGAAGCCCTCTGGCTCAGCACACAGCCAGCCTCCCCCCTCCCGACCAGTTCGGCAGGCCGCTCCCCCAACTGCCCGGGCCCCCCCCAGGACCAGAGGCAGCGGTTACCGGCAGGTAGAGCTGGGGCATCCAGATCTCTGCCCCCGAAACTAGATTTCGGAGATTCACTCTCCTCTGTCCCCCTTCCGAAGGGGCTGCAAGATCTGAGATTTCCCCCAACCCCCAGCGCAGAGACACTGCCCTGCGAGGGGCGGGACAGGGCTGCTTTGCCTCCCCGCCTGCTCACCTCTCGCCTTCTTCTCCGCCCCTGCTCCTCCTCCCTCCCTCTCCTTGGGGTTAGTACCCCAGCCCCGGTGAAGAGGAAGGAGTCCCGGAGTCAAGCCCCTTGCCACTCCCTGAGGAGGTAACTGCACCCACCCTCGTCCCAGCAGGGGCAGTGGGCATCTGAGACCCCTTGCCCCATGTCATCTGATGAACCGGTCCCATCTCTGGCTGGAGGGCTCCTTGTGCCATCCGTGTGGCCTTGTGTCTCCTGGTCCCTTCATACCTAGGGGTCTGCGTGTCTGTCTAAGTACGGCTGTTCCCTTTGCTGTCCACGCCGCCTGTGTGATGCTTTGATTCCCGAGTAGCTTCTTCTCAGCGTTGGTGTCAGCCCGGCTCATTCTCTGTTCGTGTTTCCCTTCCGGGATCCACTTCCTGCCGGTGCTGTCAGTTGTTTTTTCTCCCTGTCTCTCACCCTGTCTCTTTTCATCCCTCTCCGTCTCACACTCCCGGACTGCTTGTCTCTGTTGTGTCCATGGACTGTCCACTTTGCATCCAGCCCTCCAGCCACCCTTCTTGTCAGTCACCATCTTTTCCCACCAGGTCCATTTTCTGGACATTTCCCCCCATTCTTGGCCTTTGATGGTCATCCTCTTTCTGTACAACCACTGCCCTTACTCTTCCCGGGGAGGAAATTTCCACTCCCGGTTACCCTCGGGATCTTTTGGGCTAGAAGGTATCGAATGCGGGGGGGTTCGAGCATAACCTCCTGTCAGTCCTAACGCCCCCGTCCACCCCTTCTCCCTCCCCATCCCCGGGAAGGAGCAGACAGATCTCCAGGTCCCCCCCACAGCCGACAGGTTCCTGGCAGAGGAATATGGGGAGGGTGGCACAGACTCCCCAGCAGGGCTCTACGATTACACCTATGGCTATGGGGATGATTATCGTGAGGAGACGGAGCTTGGCCCTGCCCTCTCTGCGGAGACAACCCACTCAGGAGCCGTAAGTGAAGGGCGCTCTTCTTCCGTTCTTGACCGTCAGTGGGAGCTACAAGAATTGCTTCCTGTTGTTTTTCGTCATTCTTGGCCGTGAGCTACTTCCCGTTGGTGCTGGGTTGCCGTTTTCTGTGTACACAAGGCGTCTATGTTGCTTGGAAAGATTACTTTCTGCCTTCCTTTGCCCAGTGTCTCACCCTGTGTCTCCTTGTGGATCCTTTGGCCTGTGGCACTTGAGATTTTCTTTGAATTCTATGGCCACTGTCTGTCTTTCCTGGCCACATCCTGTCTAAATCAAGCTGGATTTCATAAAGCTTTTGGTCAATAAGCAACTACCGTGTGTCTGTTTTCAGTCTGTTTCCATCAGTTCTTCTTGATCAAAAGACTTTCTCGTCCACGTTGCTGCCAAATGACCTAACTCCCTCTGTCACCTTTTCTAACCCACAGGCCACTTCTTATCTGTCTCTTCCCGTCTTCTCTAGCCATGGCATCCATCTTGGTGACGGTCTCAGGTTGGACTGGAAGAGATTTATTATTTGTGCTGTGACTCTAGTTTGTCATACTGTCTTGTGACAGTTTCCTTTGACAAGCAGACACTTCCTGCGTCTCAGATTATCCAAATCATAAAGTTTCCGTTCTGGACCTAGATATTTATCATGGCTATTTCCTGTCTCTTCTAGCCTTGATGTTTGTGTTTTTTCCTGAAATAATTTCTTTTCATTGTCATAATTCCGTTAATGGGAGTCATTCTTAATCTGTTCTGTGAGTCTTTCTCCTCTCTTGGTCATGGTAGCCATGTTGTTGTTGAAAGTCCACTTCCTGGATCCTCTTTTCTTGGCTGCTTCCTGTCTGCCTAACCACTTCCTGTTTGTCTGGGTTGTTTTCTAGCCGTCTTGGCTGTGTTTAATTTTTCTTGGCCCTGGCGTCGTTCTTGCTTCCAAGCATGTGTCCCTTGTTTCGTGTCCCTTGGTAGTTTCTCGTGTCTTAAACGCTCCCTGTCAGTTGGAATATTTCCTGTCTACTCCACTTCATCTTTTGCCATGCAATGATGGCTGCCTCTTCTACCCTGCTCCTTCATCCCACACCTCCCTTCTCTAACACTGCCAGCCTTAACCCTCCGCTGCCTTTCCTTTATGCTGCTACCTGGGGCTTTAGGGTTGATCTGGGATTTGGGAGAGGCGGGAACCCATCGTTGCTATTTGGGCAGGGTGGAGGTGGAGCGGGTATTCTCAAGATCTTTGCTGGGACAGTTGGAGGAGGTGGTGTTACATGTCTTCCATTCTCCCTGTCCTTAGCTTGGTTCTGGGCCTGGAGCCTGGAGTAGACATCTGAGTGGAAGTATGGAAGCGGGAAGGGGGCTTGGGTGGAGGATAAAGGAGAGTCAGAGGAAGCAGAGAGCATCTCTACTGAGAAAGGAATGAGGCTCTGCTCTGTGCCTTGGATAAATGAGCCCAAAAGCTGTATTTTTCCAAAAGCCGATTCTGAGGCCTGAGTTTAGAATACCAGTGGGATTGCTCCCCAGATCTACTTAAGGTTTGGATGCTAAGTCTTGGGGGGTGGGCGGGTATTTAATTTGTGAACCCTTTGAAATTCTAAGTAAAATTCTATGTGTCAGCAGACGTACTTTTTATTTTCTAGAGAAAGACTCCTAGCTTTCATCATATTCTTGTATAGGTCCATACGCTACCCTCATCCTCAAATAAAAATCTTGCCATCATCTCAGAGATTCTTATTTGATGGCTGGAGTAAGGGTGAGGAAGCGGATGGTTTCTTAGAGTTCTGAGGGTTCCTGGGGTGAGAGGGAACATGGCGGACAGTGTGAGGTCCTCCAGGAGGGGGTTTGGGAAGGTTGGGGTTGGAAGTCCCACAGACAGAAAGAAGTCATCAAGGAGACTGAGCTGTATTTGCGGAGGTGTGGCTGAAGACCAGCCGCGTTTTGAGGGGAGCCCTGAGGTCTTTTTGGCAGGCGTGGGAAGTCTGTGAGAGGGGTTTTTGAAAAGAGCTAGAAAGTTTGTAAGCAGGGTCAGGGAGGTTTCTGAAGGCCCCGAGAATGAAGATTGGAATTGGGATGGGGTGGTCCTGCTGTTCGGCTGCTCATGGGCCCCGCTGGGGGTTACATGTGTGTCTCCTTCAGGTTGCCCATGGACCCCGGGGGCTGAAGGGTGAGAAGGGAGAGCCGGCAGTGCTGGAACCTGTGAGTTACATCCGTCGCTGAGCTGAGGGAGGTGGGAAAAAGGTAGGAAAGCAGGGATGGGGTTCTGCAGCCCCTGACTGTTAACCTCTAACTCCACAGGGTATGCTTGTGGAGGGACCCCCTGGCCCAGAAGGCCCTGCGGTGAGTGCAGCTGTGACCTTAGCCTCCACTTTTTGCTGGAGGACTTCCTGGAGGCTCTTCTCCGCTTTACCTGAATATGGCCGGGCCTCCCTCCCAGAAGTCCAGAGAGGAGTCCAATCCAAGCTCTCGTGTTCCCAGGTCCCTTCTGTAGACAACATCTCTTTTCTGTCTGATGTCCACACCTAACTCCCTGTTCTTTTGTTCCTCAGGGGTTGGCTGGACCCCCTGGGATCCAGGGGAACCCAGGCCCGGTTGGAGACCCTGGAGAGAGGGTAAGGCAGTGTTCTGTGGGAGGGGGGATGGAAGGAGGGCAGTTGTAAAGGAGCCATTTGTTCCCAGGGGGTTACCGTGCAATAATTTCTTATTGGCTGACGGATTGAATGGGTGGTCGTACTCCCCTGGTACCCAGAAAGGGGGTGTACTCTGGCTGGGAAGTGGAGTAGCCTGCTCTCTCACCCGCCCTTTTCCTCCATGGGGTGGGGGGCTCAGGGAAGACCTAGGGAAGTCTACATTTATTCAAAACGATGCCAAGGCCCTAGCATCCTCTTACTGAAATAAAGTTGCCCATGCGTTCTCATTCTTCCCCATTCCAGGGCCCCCCTGGCCGAGCAGGGCTCCCTGGATCCGACGGGGCCCCTGGCCCTCCCGGCACCTCCCTCATGCTCCCAGTGAGTTGTCTTCTGAGCTTTGGAGCGGCTGACGGGGAAAGCAGGGATTGTATTGGGCTCCCACGAACCAGCAAGGCAGCAAAGCTCGGGGGGAGGTTCTGAAGAGCGTCCACCCAAAGAGAGTTTTTGTAGTTGTTGTTTTGTTTTGAGAGTGATCTATGGGGAGGGAGGATTCGGGTTCACTGATGACCTAGAACCAGACACGTTCTTCTAGAACCCAGCTTGGACCCTCTAGAACCAGGCAGGAAGTCCTCTGTTTCAAGGCGGGTCTAGAACCAAAGGCACCTTCTGGGAGGAGGAGGTTGGAGGAGGACAGGAGTTGAGCTTCTGCAAACCCCTCAGCAGCCATATGGAGCTCACAGAAGATGCCAGAGGAGGGGCATGGGGTGTCCTAGAACTTGGGGGATGGGGCAGAAATGCCCCAGAGGGAGGAAGCCTCTGGCTGGGAAGGTCCCATGGATTTCCTGGATGTGAACCTGGACCTGTTCTTCCTGGCCCTCAGTTCCGGTTTGGTAGCAGTGGGGGTGACAAGGGCCCTGTGGTGGCAGCGCAGGAGGCTCAGGCCCAGGCGATTCTGCAGCAGGCACGGGTGAGCAGGGCTGGAGGCGGTCCTGGCGGAGGGAGGGAGGGTGCTGGGAAGGGGCTGCAAGGCTGGGCCGCGGTGAAAGGAGAGCGGGGAAGGTCTGGGTGGTGTGGGCCTGAGAGGGAGGTTGGGGAGGATGTAAGTCATGGAGGGTGAATTTGGGTTCTTCTGAGGTTTGCCAGCTGCCTGCTTCTCAGCTCTGCCGTTCCCTTGCTCTCCTAGCTGGCGCTGCGTGGACCCCCAGGCCCGATGGGATACACAGGCCGTCCTGGACCCTTGGTAAGCGAGCGAGTGTTAGAGTGTCCTTTATTTGTGTGTTGAGGTATGGATATTTCTGGAAAGGAACCATGTTGGAAGGTGTTTTGCTTCTTTGGGGAAGGGCTTTGAAGTCACTCTTGGGACTGTCCTTCAACATGGCCACCTTCTCTTCTCTTTCACAGGGGCAGCCTGGGAGCCCTGGCTTGAAAGGAGAATCAGGAGACCTAGGACCTCAGGTAATGGTCCTCATCCGATGCCCGGCCCATTGGCCCTCCCATCTATGTCCATTAACCCTTTTCCCATCTCTGTCCTCACCAGGGCCCCAGAGGACCTCAGGGTCTCGCAGGCCCTCCCGGCAAGGCTGGGCGGAGGGTGAGTACCCAGGGCGGGGACGGGTGCTGGTGGGGACAGGGCTTGGAGCCTGGAGACTCTACTTGCTCTGACACCGCCCTTGCACCTCCAGGGCCGAGCCGGTGCTGACGGAGCCCGAGGGATGCCGGGAGAACCTGGAGTGAAGGTAGCAGGCATGGACCTCTCTGCCACCCGTAGTTCAGGACTCCCTAGCTCTCCATGTGCCCCCAGGATGCAGCCTCTCCCCACTCAGGACATAGTAGGGAGCGGTGGCTAGGAAGTACCCTCACTCTGGCTGTCCTCTTCCTCCTAGGGTGATCGAGGCTTTGATGGTCTCCCAGGTCTACCTGGGGAGAAGGGACATAGGGTAAGTATACTGGGGGTAGGTTGGCTTGTGATGGGGAGATATCTGTGCAGGACAGGTGGGATCTCTGTGTGAAGAGTCTGGGAGCCCAGCAGAAGCCCCTGAATGCAATCAGCTCACTAATTAAAGGGGGTTTGGTGTCTGCAAGTGTTGAGGGTTCTAAGGCTCCTCTGAATTCTTCCCCCGTTTTTCAGGGTGACACGGGTGCCCAGGGCCTTCCTGGGCCCCCCGGTGAGGACGGAGAGCGGGTAAGTGTGGTGGCAAGGGCAGGGGCTGGGGACAGAAGTCTAGGAGGCAAGGCCGCTCGCTGTACTCTGTCCTCCTCCTCCTCCAGGGAGACGACGGGGAGATCGGGCCTCGGGGGCTGCCTGGAGAGTCGGTGAGCGTCTGGGGATCAGGCTGGGCCGGGTGGGGGGCTCTGGGGAAGCCAGGGCAGGGACTTGTGCGCAAAAGGGATTTGTCCTTTCTCACTCATTTATGCTGTCTCCTCTCCCAACCTTGAATGCAGGGACCTCGAGGACTCCTTGGTCCCAAAGGCCCCCCTGGCATCCCTGGGCCCCCGGTGAGTGGCGCCCTGACTTCCAGCCCTGACCTCACTCCGACTTCCCTGCCTCTGCGCCCTTCCTAACTGCCCCCGGCCCCCTGTGTGCGCTCCTACTCTGGTGCCACCTGTCCCTGCTCCGGCTGTCACCCCCCAGGAGCACCTGGAGGGCCTTGTGGCTCAGCGCACCCAGGGCTCTGAGCACAGCCAGAGCAAAACAAGAACCCTCAGGAAAAACAAAACGGAAAGCCTCCAAGCCGCGGCCCCACAGCCCACAGGCCCACGCCTGCCCGCCCGGGCCGCTGTGCTTGCCTAGGTTTGGGATGAATTGGCAGTGTGGTTGATGATTGCTTGCCTCGTCCACCCTCGGGAACGGCCGGGCCTCTCTGAAACCACAGGTCCCTCCGGGCCCATGCCACCTTCCGGCCTGCTCACGCCCTTCTCGTGTTTCAGGGAGTCCGAGGCATGGATGGACCCCAGGGTCCCAAAGGAAGCTTGGTGAGTGGCGGGTGTGGAGGCCTAGCTTTAAGCCCCAGGCGCCCGCCGGGTCCTGCTCACCACCTTTGACCCCGGCCTGCTTCCTGCGCCTGCTGCCTTGGCTGCCTCTGCAGCTCCCGGCGCTTTTTGTTCTGTCCGCGTCTCCTTCCCACTCCGACCTGGCTGCCTGTTTCTAGGGCCCTCAGGGAGAGCCAGGACCTCCCGGACAGCAGGGCACTCCTGGGACCCAGGTGAGTGGCCCTCCGCGCCCTCTCTGACCATGGTGACGTCCCCTGGCTTCACAGTGGGTCAGACTCCGGGTGGGGACCAGAAGTCGAGGGTCTGCAGGCCGCTTGCTCATGTTCCAAATGGGACCGCCGAGGGTGGCTGGAGAGAACAGGCCGGGCTGTGCGGCCCCCGTGACTTCTCCCTCCCTGTGTGCAGGGTCTCCCCGGGCCTCAGGGTGCCATCGGCCCTCACGGTGAGAAGGTGAGTGGCTGTGTGACCTGGAGGGCGGGGGTTCATGGGATGGGTGAGAGGGCATGAACTTATCTAGGCAGCCTTAGCTGTGTTAAGGGAGCGCCACCCACCCCAAATCTGCTCATTTCCCTGCAGGGTCCTCGCGGGAAGCCGGGGCTCCCTGGCATGCCTGGCGCAGATGGACTCCCGGTGAGTAGGCCCCGCTTTGAACCGGGTCTCCCGTGGCGCCTTCAGTGACCATGACCTGGCAGTCCCTGTGCTGGAAGTCCCGGCGGTGCCCCGGGTCTGCTGGCCTTGTGAGCTCACCGGGGAGTCTGGGCTGGAAGCAGTGGAGGGAGAGGGGCAGGGAAGTGACGGGACCAGCAGTCACACCACGCATCTCCCACCCGTAGGGTCACCCGGGGAAGGAAGGTCCTCCTGGAACCAAAGGAAACCAGGTGAGATCCTCCACGCCTCCTTTTACCTCCCGAAGGGCCTCTGTACTGACTATGCTCCTCCAGGGTCTTGGGATCTCCTGTCCTCACCGTCGTGTGACTGACATATTCTCAGTCCTGTCCTGTCACCCGGCCCACTGTCTGGCGCTGTTGCAGTATTCCCATTTCTCTTGCCTCCTGGTCGCCCAACAGTGCCACCCTGAGGACCCTTAATAAGTGCCTCTCTTTTTTCTTGCAGGGTCCGTCTGGACCTCAGGGTCCTTTAGGATACCCGGGACCTCGAGGTGTCAAGGTAACTGGCTGCGGGGGAGCGAGCTGGGGCCTTGGGAGCCTGGTCCTTCCAGCCCAGCCCCACCCTCTGATGGGTCCTATCTACTCTCCCCGCTTCTAGGGTGTGGATGGCATCCGGGGTCTGAAGGGTCACAAAGGTGAAAAGGTGAGCACCGTGGCCCCAGCTTCCTGACACCCTGCCCTGCTCGCCTCCTGCCCTTAGCCTGCTCCACACGGTGCTCCGCCCCGAAATCCACCTTCCCGCTGGCCTTCTCCGAAAACCCCCACTCTGACTCCCCAGCCCTCTCCCACCCCGCCGGCTGTGCTCTCACCTCCATCTTTCTCAGGGTGAGGACGGCTTCCCCGGGTTCAAAGGTGACATAGGCGTGAAGGGTGACAGGGTGAGTAGAGGCCCCCACACTGGTCCCTCACTCCACACCCTAATGATCCTGCTCCCTGCGGCCTCCAGGCGCCAGCCTGTTCCTTGAGACCCTGAGCTCCCAACTCCAAGGCTGTGGCCCCTTTAGAGCCCGGTCCCTGCGGTGTTTCCACATCACGTTCTCTGCCTTCCTGGCCCCCAGTCCCACTCTTCCTACCCCGGAGGGGGGGTGGTTCCCTGGTTCGTGGTAGCTTTTGGGCCCCCACCAACCCTACTGGAGTCCAGATCTCCCCCAGTCCCTGACATTCACCTCCCTGACACTCCCAGGGTGAGGTTGGAGTTCCTGGTTCCCGGGGAGAAGATGGTCCCGAGGGGCCGAAGGGACGCACTGGACCCACGGGAGACCCTGGGCCTCCCGGGCTCCTGGGCGAGAAGGTGATGGGGATGACCCAGGGTTCCTGGGATGTGGATGGCAGCGGCCTGGACACTGGGCAGGGTGGGCCTGGGGATGCCAAGGATAGAAATGGACAGGGTTTGGCCGTGCACTGGCCGTGTGTGTGGCTGATGGGTTGCTGGTGGGTTGGGAGAATGCAGGAGAAGTCAAGAAAATTCCTTCTCATGATGAACTGGCCTGGACCATCAAGAAGGAGGGGCTGCGTGGGGAGCAGTGGGGCGGCATACCGCCTGAGCAAAGGGCGGGGCCGGTGAGAGCCCCGGTCTTGGGGGATGCTGGGAAAGATGGAGCTCAGGTGAACGGTGGGCGTTTGCTATATCACAGTGACCCTGACTTTAGCAGCCTGGCCTGAAGACAGAAGGGAGACACTAGATTGGGGAAAATCCACTCGCAGGAAGAGAGATCATGAAAGTCAAGTAGCCTGTGGGTGGCGGATGAGGGGCCAGGGGCTGGGGCTTGGGGGCGAGCATCGCTGCTGGGGGCTCGCCCTCATCTCCAGAGATGCAGGGCATTTATGGCTCCTCTTCCCCTTCCACAGGGCAAGCTGGGCGTTCCTGGCCTGCCTGGTTACCCTGGACGCCAGGGTCCCAAGGTGATGTGATGCCCTGTTTGTATCCCTCCCCCTTTCCCCTCCTTGTCCCTGAGTCCAGGAAACACAGAGTGGGCTATCCTGGATAACTGAGGTGGCTCCCACTCTACAGATGTGAAAGTAGAGGCCCGGCGGGTAGCAGGGTTTGTCTGAGGCCACATAATTATTGGCAAGCCCGGGGACCCTCGCTGTTGGCAGCATGGCTTCTCCCGGTCCCCGCTGGCCCTTCCTGAGCCCCCTGTCCTTTCCCCACTGCTCATCCCCTCTTCTCCCCCTCCCCAGGGGTCCCTGGGATTTCCTGGCTTCCCCGGAGCCAGTGGAGAGAAAGGAGCCCGGGTAAGCTGGGGAGGGAGAGGGTTTGGGAGCGGGGTGGCAGGTGTGGGAGGGGGACCTGGGGGCGTCGCACCCGTGTGACATTCTCTGCTGTCCCCACCAGGGCCTGTCTGGGAAGGCGGGACCTCGGGGCGAGCGAGGCCCCACGGTGAGTGCGGGGGGAGGGAAACGGGCTCTGGAGCTCCGCGGGGAGCGCACGGGTGTTTCTGACCACTGTCCCCTGCTCTTCCCAGGGCCCACGGGGCCAGCGGGGACCCCGAGGAGCCACCGGCAAGTCTGGAGCTAAGGTCAGTGTCCTCTGTGGGCTCCACGGCCCTCGCTCGCCCACGGAGCGCCAGCCCCTCCTCTTCCCTCCCCACCCAGGGCCTGGCGGGGAAGCAGCTCCTTCATTGCCTGACTCTGTTTCCCCCCAGGGAACATCCGGAGGTGACGGCCCCCACGGGCCGCCCGGAGAGAGGGTGAGTGTGGCTTGAGCATCCCGTGGCCTGCTGCTCTGCGGCTGGGAGCCGTGTTCCCCTGCCAGCGCCGTCCTGCCTTCTCCCGACGCTGCCGCTCTCTGTCTCTAGGGCCTCCCTGGACCCCAGGGCCCCAATGGATTTCCCGGCCCCAAAGGCCCCCCGGTAAGCTGGCTGCTGATGCGGACCCACCTCGGTCCCCGAGGCCTTCTTTCCCGTACCCCTGCCCAGCCTAGGGTTCGCCTGACCTCTGAACCCCTTCCAGGGACCCCCTGGGAAGGACGGGCTGCCCGGACACCCAGGCCAGAGAGGAGAAGTGGTAAGCGATGCCTAGGTGGTCCGGTCCCAGGCGGCCCCCACGCCCCAGAGCTGCCTGGGAGGCGTGGGGCTCCTGGCAGAGTGAGCAGGTCCTGGCGCTGCTCCTACCCAGCGGGGCGGGGCGACCCTCCAGGAGCCTTGGGTCAGCCCCCTCTCTACCTGCTCTGATCCTCTCTCCTCTCTCAGGGCTTCCAAGGGAAGACGGGCCCTCCCGGCCCCCCTGGCGTGGTGGGACCCCAGGTAGGTCTGCCCGCAGGAGAAAATGGAAGCCAGATCTGGAGTTAGTCTGTCTGTCCTCTCCTCCCAGTCACGCATCCCAGGCCCTGGTTTGCCTGCCGGGACCCCGGGGGATGGGATTTGGGGCCGGGTTCTGAGCCTCAGTTGCGCCCCGCGGCTTTGCTCACTTGTGGGGAGGCAGTTCCCCAACAGCGACACAAGGTGGCGCAGTTACTCCACACCGGGGAAGGCAAAGCGAAGCGCCGCCCGTAGAGCCCCAAGAACGTCCTGATTGCTGCTGGGCAGGAGGAAGGGGCTCTAGAGGGGTATTTTAGGGCGCCAGGGTGGGCTCTTTGGGCAGACAATGGGATGAAGGGGCTGATCATGGGAACTCTGCCCCTTTTCCAGGGAGCAGCAGGAGAAAGCGGTCCCATGGGGGAGAGAGGTCACCCAGGTCCCCCAGGACCTCCTGGAGAGCAGGGACTGCCTGGCACAGCGGGAAAAGAAGGAACAAAGGTCAGTGAGGGACCAGCAGAGGGGAGCTTGGGGGCTGGGGGGATGGGTGATGGGATCTGCAGGGACCAGAGGTTTCTTTGCCCAATTTAGCTCATCACCCCTCCTTTCCTTTTAGGGTGACCCCGGCCCCCCTGGGGCTCCAGGGAAAGATGGTCCAGCTGGCTTGAGGGGCTTCCCAGGGGAGAGAGGTCTCCCCGGCACTGCTGTGAGTGTGGCCCCAGAACCACCTGCCTGTCACAAGTCACCCTGCATGCTGACCCCACCCCGCATCTCCCTGAGCCCGGCTTCCTCCATGACCCTCATCCTTCCCAGCATGTGTCCAAGCACCCTGTTCCTCCTGGACCCCTCGAGTGTCCCGCCTTCCTGTCCCTCCTTCCTGTCTCACCTGTTGGCCCAAACCTGTGCTTCGTAGGGCGGACCTGGTTTGAAGGGGAATGAAGGCCCAGCTGGCCCTCCGGGCCCTGCAGTGAGTCTGGGGTCCTGAGGGACCTGGGGAGGCGGGTGGGTGAGACCAGATGAGGACCAGTATCTGACGGGACCACGGGACTGGGCCGAGGGAATCTAGGGTCATCCAGAATGCACCCGACTTTCAGGACTTCTCCTGGCCAGGGGTCCTCTGGTTTGGGGGGGCTGGGTTCCCCTTCCTGGGGGCCTGACTCAGTCTCCTCATTTAGGGCTCCCCTGGAGAACGAGGTGCAGCAGGATCAGGGGGACCCATTGGTCCCCCCGGGCGCCCAGGCCCGCAGGGTCCGCCAGGAGCAGCAGGCGAGAAAGGCGTCCCGGTGAGTGTGGAGGGCTCTGGCGGGGGTCCGTGTGTGCAGGGGTGCTGGCTGTGGAGTCCCCCTGCGGGGTGTTTGAGGGTGAGGTCACCTCCAGGCCACCACTCCTTTCTTCATTCCCCTCAGGGCGAGAAGGGTCCTATTGGTCCCACTGGCCGCGATGGGGTGCAGGGTCCTGTGGGACTTCCTGGCCCTGCTGGACCCCCTGGCGTGGCTGGAGAGGATGGCGACAAGGTGAGGGAACCCACAGACCGGCCTATCTCCCCTCCCGGTGAAGCGGCTGACGTGGGCATGACTTCCGCCTCCCTGACCTGGCTCTGGCTCCCCTACCGTGTCCTTTCCCTGACATCTCCTCTGCCTTTGCCCCCAGGGTGAGGTGGGAGACCCTGGACAGAAGGGCACCAAAGGGAACAAGGGCGAACATGTAAGTGCCCATGACCTGCCCTGTGTGCGTGTGTGTGTCTGTGTGTGTGTGTGTGTGTGTGTGCGCGCGCGCGGGCATGCACACTGTGGAGATCTGACCCAGGGCCATTGAGCACTCTACCTTAACCGAGCCTCCTCCCCAGCCCAAGACACTGACCTTTGACCTCCTGGCCTTTGACCTCATTCCTTCCTGTTTCCTCTTCCTGTACTGGAGTCTCTGTTCTTTCTCCCCCAGGGCCCTCCTGGACCTCCTGGACCCATTGGTCCTGTGGGGCAACCTGGAGCAGCGGTGAGTGCTCCTCTGTCCCCACCTGAGTCCCCAGAGGTCTCTGATCTGCCTTGGTCCCCCTCTGCCCTTCGGGCTGGGCCTGGGAATGGGAGCTCTGGGTCCCATGCCCACTGTATGAGGGGTTTGTGGATAGAGAACACCCGACCTATCTGTGTCCTTGTCCCTGTCCCTCATCCAGGGAGCTGATGGGGAGCCTGGAGCTCGGGGGCCCCAGGGACACTTTGGAGCCAAAGGTGATGAAGGAACAAGAGGCTTCAATGGATCCCCAGGACCCATTGGTCTACAGGTGAGTTGGGGGCTGGGGACAGGGACTGAGGGGTAGGGTCAGCAGGGGCTGGTGCTCGCCCGGGAGGCCTGCCTACAGCCGGCTGGGGGGGCAGCAGGGCCCCAGGGAGGGATCTATGGGGCTGGGTCTGCGCGGGCCACGCCTTGGGTGGGGTGGTCAGCTGTGTCTGTGCTTTGAACTCCTGCGCAGGGCTTGCCAGGCCCCTCCGGGGAGAAGGGAGAAACAGGTGATGTGGGTCCCATGGTGAGTGTGACCCCCAGGGAGCCCCGCCTTCCTTGGACTAGTCACCCCGTCCAGCCAGCCCCCAGCCCAGCGCCCCGCTGAGACCTCACTGTGTACGCTGGGCCCTGGCCCGCGCCCTGTCCCGCCCCATGCCCAGGACCTGTGCTTGCCCAGCCCCACGTCCGTGCTCCACCTTGGAGCCCCTCTTGTGCCCCGTGCCCGTCTCTGATACATCTCTTCCCTCCCAGGGACCTCCTGGCCCCCCAGGACCACGCGGCCCGGCCGGACCCAACGGCGCCGATGTGAGTCTCCTCGGCCTCCTGCCCCGGGTCCCTGCTCTCTTGCCCCCGACCTTGGGCCTCGCTTACCCTCGGGCTCTGCCGGGCAGTGACTCCTCTCTCCCTTCCCTTTTCAGGGCCCGCAAGGTCCCCCCGGAGGTGTTGGGAACCTGGGGCCCCCTGGAGAGAAGGTAACTGAGAAGGGGTAGATGGACCGGTCCTTGGGGTGGGGGTAAGGGTTGGAATTCTGCCCACTTTATTTGGGGGTACAGAAAATAAGATGTGGGGAGGGCTGGGACTGAAAAACAGGAAGATTTGACCCCAGTCAATGTTTTTTTTTTTTTTAGGGGGAGCCAGGAGAACCAGGGTCTCCAGGGGTCCAGGGCGAGCCAGGCGTCAAGGTAAGTGAACCTCCGAGGCCTGGATCCCCGGTCTGTCACCCCAGCCTTCTGTGCCCCCTCTGAGCTGGAGCGGTGCATTCCTGGCCCGGGCGCCTGCGCCAGCCTGGCCCGGAGGCAGCCCGCGCTGTCCTGTCCTTGGAGGGCAGAGGGGCCCCATCCTGCTTTCCCTCTGCTGGCCGTGCTGCTCCTCCTGACTTTCGGGGGCGTCGCACTGTCACTGAGGGGACAAAGGGAGGCTGAAAGCAGGGGTTGCGGCCCTGGACTTGAGAGCCCCTGGAGACCATCTGCACCTCCGCTCCTTCTGCAGGGACCACGTGGGGAGCGCGGGGAGAAAGGAGAGTCGGGGCAGGCGGGAGAGGCCGGGCCGCCCGGCCCCAAAGGCCCCACGGGCGACGATGGCCCCAAAGGCAACCCTGTGAGTGTGTGTGGGGGTGCGAGAAGAGGGCTGTATGAGAAGACTGGGAATACGTGCGTGTGCGTGCGTGCATGCATGTGTGCATGTGTGTGTGTGTGCGTGTGTGCGTGCATGTGTGTGTGTGTGTGTGTGTGAAGCCTAGGAGTGCAGGGCACCCCAGGACTGGGGAGATGCTGGGAGGGAAGTCCCGGGAGGGAATGGGGCCTCCTGGGAGGGGGACTTGGGGTCCCAGGATGCAGACGGAAAGTGCAGAATGGCCTGAGGTCAGCACCCGGAGAGTCTGGGGCCCGCAGGGTGTGTGGGTGGGGGAGGCGCCCAGGGGACCTCTCCTGAGCGGGGTGCCTGTGGGGAGAGTGAGGCACGTGCCAGGCGTCTGCGTTGGCTCTGGGTGGCTTAGTCTGCTGCGATTCTGACCCTTGCTTTCGCCCTGGCTTAGGGTCCTGTCGGTTTCCCTGGGGACCCCGGCCCTCCCGGAGAAGTCGGCCCTAGGGTGAGTCTCCCCGGGAGTGGAGTGGCTGGGGCGTCTATGGAGGGGCTTGGTGCTGCTGAGGGACTCAGGTACCAGGAAGCTGGGCGGGCAGAGGGGCAGGTGGATGGCAGTTTGGGGGTGCGGCCAGCCAGGTTGGGAGCTGCCCCTGACCTTGCTTCCATTCCTGCAGGGCCAAGATGGTGCTAAGGGCGACCGAGGAGAGGACGGCGAGCCAGGCCAGCCTGTGAGTGACCAGTGACCCCTCCACCGAGCTTGAGGCTTCACACCCCTCTTCTGTGCTCCCGAGAACGGGCTCCCTGGCTGGAGGCTGCTCATTCACCCCAATTCCTCCCTCCCTAGGGATCCCCTGGTCCCACTGGGGAGAACGGGCCGCCTGGACCACTGGGGAAGCGGGTGAGTGAGCTGGGTGCTGGGCCCTTGGCGGCAGCCCTGGGACAACGGCGGGTGATGGGCAGGGAGGCACCTGGCGTCTGGGTTGTCCTTGGTGGGGTACACGTGCGCAGGAGCAGACATGTACCCTTGTTCTGTGCACCTTGTGTGTCTCTGCTCCGGGATTTGGTCTACATGCTCTTGCCAGCCGTGGGAGCACCTACTGACCAATCAGGATGGACTTCGGCGGAAGGGCTGGATTTTCTAGAGGTCCCTGCTGGGCCGGGGCTTAAGCTCTGAGTTGCTGGGACAGGAAGTGGGCCATGAGGTGGGAAGCGGGCGTGAGGCTCTCCACCAAATGTACAGAACTACTCAGTATTCCAGCAGCTGGGGCGGCGGTACCCGTTCTTACGGTCTGTGACTTGGCCCTGTGCGTTTGTGCCCGTGTCTGTGCATGTGTGAGTGTGTGCACACGCATGTGTGCGTGAGCGTGTGTACAAGAGGGCAGAGTTCAGCCTGGCTGCCCATGGCCTCACCTCCTCCCTGCCCCCACCCCCAGGGTCCTGCTGGCACACCCGGCCCCGAGGGGCGACAGGGCGAGAAGGGAGCCAAGGTGAGAGAGGCCGCCCCGTGCCGGAACAGTCCCCTGCCTCCTCCGCAGATTCCTCTGTCTCCGGGTGCCCGCCCCATGGCCACCTCTCCCTTTTGAGCCCTTTTGGGGACCGGGTTCTGCTCCTGCTCCTGCTCCAGGGTCTCCCTCCTTCCTGTCTCACCCTTTCCATCTTGAGCCCCCCTGTATCCCCTCCTCTGCTCTTTTGGACGCATGTTTTGTGTTTCAGGGGGATCCTGGTGCTGTGGGCGCCCCAGGGAAGACAGGCCCTGTGGGTCCCGCGGGCCCAGCTGGAAAACCTGGCCCTGATGGGCTGAGGGGGCTCCCGGGCTCAGTGGTGAGTTGTGGGGTACAGGGCGGGGTGAAGGACCAAGGGAGGGGCAGAGCGTGGGATGTTCCTCCTGACCTGGGGTCTCTCTACCCTGTAGGGGCAGCAAGGCCGTCCTGGAGCCACAGGCCAGGCCGGGCCGCCGGGTCCTGTGGTGAGTGACGGATTGGGCGGTGTCAGCACCCTGGGGCGGTGGGGCAGCGAGCTGAAGCTGTGGAGGGCGTGGGAGGCCATGGGGAGGACTCGCTCCCACCTCCCTCCGGAGAGAGTGACTTCCTATCTCCCCGCAGGGACCCCCAGGGCTTCCTGGCCTCCGGGGTGATGCAGGAGCCAAAGGGGAGAAGGTAAGCGACGGACAGACATGTGGCTGGGGTCTCTCCCACCGCCCTCACCCTCTGGACCCTATGGGGATGCTGCCTCAGCCCCAGCACCCAGTCCTTGGGGAGCCTCACTCATGGGGACAGTTCACAGCTGCTGCTGCCGCCCCAAGCCCCATACCCTGCCCTTCTCTGTCTTCTTGGCCTTTTTTTTTGGTTGGGGATTAGCCTTGTGGCCTCACACATGTGAAACATGCGCTCGCTCTGTCGCCGAGCCAGGTCCCCGCCCCTTGGCCGTGCTTCCCCATCCAAGTGACTCTCCCTGCATCCTGGTGACCACTGTCCCCTTCCCCAGGGCCACCCAGGTCTCATTGGACTGATTGGCCCCCCTGGAGAGCAAGGAGAGAAGGGTGACCGGGGACTTCCTGGCCCTCAGGGCTCCGCTGGACAGAAGGGAGAGACGGTGGGTCGAGGGCGTGGTCCTGGGAAGCCTGGGGGATAAGGATGGGGATCGTGGTGGGGTGGGTTCGGGGCTCAGCTGTGGGGTGGGGGGTGCGTGCTCTGGAGGGGTGGGGAGGAGGGCCCAGCTGACCTAGGCCCCCGTGCATCTTAGGGTATCCCAGGAGCATCTGGCCCCATCGGTCCTGGAGGGCCTCCCGGCCTCCCTGTGAGTATCCTACTGGTCCTCTTCCAAGTCCCCCAAACCCTGCTGTCCCATAACCTCGCAGTGACCTCCATTCAACTGCAGCCTGGCAGACAGGGGTCAGGGCCCTCCAGGGTTTCCTTCCCTGTGTTCCAGGGTCTCCAAATGCCCCCTGTTCCTCGTGCCCCTGCTGCGGTACCCAGGGCCCTGTGGACCTACGACCTTGCTCTCCATTCCTCTGGGTCTTGGCCTCCCCATGTGACCATTCTTTTGTTCCTCATTTCACAGGGACCTGCTGGCCCCAAAGGAGCCAAAGGAGCCACAGTGAGTGACCCCGTCGGCCCTGACCTTTGCTCCCCCAGCTGGACTTGACCCCACCTCTCAGGGCCATCCTCCCCCTGCCCCTAGCTCCTCACTGCCAGCCAGGAGACTCATGTGACCCCTCTGTGACCGTGACCTCACGCTTGACCTCTTGACCCCACCCTGACCTTTAATCCGTTGTCAGGGCCCAGCTGGACCTAAGGGAGAGAAGGGCGTCCAGGGCCCCCCAGGACACCCGGTGAGTTCCGAGGCCGAGCCTGCCCTTCTGGCTTCCCTCCCTGTCAGTCTCCGCTCTACCTTCCCAGCAACCTCATCTCACCTCTCCATCTCTCCACCCAGGGCCCTCCGGGCGAGGTGATCCAGCCGCTGCCCATCCAGATGCCCAAGAAGACGCGCCGCTCCGTGGACGGAAGCCGTCTGACACAGGAAGACGAGGCCGTGCCGACTGGGGGCGCCCCGGGCAGTGCTGGGGGACTGGAGGAGATCTTCGGCTCACTTGACTCCCTGCGGGAGGAGATCGAGCAGATGAGGCGGCCAACGGGGACCCAGGACAGCCCCGCTCGCACCTGCCAGGACCTGAAGCTCTGCCACCCGGAGCTGCCCGATGGTGAGAGCCGAGCTCAGGGCCGGGCACTGAGGCAGCGGAAAGGATGCTGGGCGGCCAGGGCAGGGGCTGGGCTGCGGTGAGGGCCGAGGGGCTCGGAGCGGGGACTCCAAATCACCCAGCGCGGAGGGACTTCAGCATCCGGGTAGCTGACGCGGTCCTGCAGGGCCCTCCTGCCCTTTGCAGCTGCATGTCCAGAAGTGATAAACACACATGTACACTTGCACTTGGGCTCACACCAGGCCACACGCGGTACCGGTATGAGGATGTCACACTCCTCCACTCAGACAAGCCTGGCGTTGCTGTTGGGGGCCGGGGGTCAGCCGTCAGGGCCCAGCAGCAGGGGATGGGGACCCTGAGCAGGGTGCAAGGGCTGTGGAGGGAAGGTCGGGGTACCGAGGGTGCCGTGGGGAGGGCTGGGGGCTTCGGGGTGGGAGGGAGGAGCAAAGACCATCCTGGAGTGCAGACCACAGCGGCCCTGACCTCCCGGCCCTTCACGACAGGAGAGTACTGGGTGGACCCCAACCAGGGCTGCGCCCGGGACGCCTTCCGGGTTTTCTGCAACTTTACAGCGGGAGGGGAGACGTGTGTGACACCCAGGGATGACGTCACCCAGGTGAGAGGTGGCCTCCGACTGCCGACCCTGTCCGTAGCACCATCCCCTCAGGGCCTGGCGGAGTGTGGGGGGATTGCTCCCACACTTTTCCTTCTCACCCGCCCTAGGATGCGCTCTGTCCCTTCCCTTGAAATCTCAGGACAGACGCTCGCCCCCTGGCTCCCACCCAGCCTGTGCTGGAGACCTGGCTCAGTGGCCGGCTCTGTAGCTGCTCTGCAGGCGGTCGGTGACGCCCACCCCCGCACGTGTCTCTTTCCAGTTCTCTTACGTGGACTCGGAGGGCTCCCCGGTCGGTGTGGTCCAGCTCACCTTCCTGCGCTTGCTCAGCGTCTCGGCGCACCAGGACGTCTCTTACCCCTGCTCTAAAGCGGCCCTCGACAGTCCCCTGAGACTACGGGGAGCCAATGAGGACGAGCTGAGCCCGGAGACCAGCCCCTACGTCAAGGAGTTCCGAGAGGGCTGCCAGGTGGGAGCTGGGAAGCTGGGCGGGAGGGGGATCCCAGCAGCAGGCTGCAGGAAGGAGCTGGGGGGCCCTTTGGGCAGGGCGCGGGGGCAGCCGCGAGGAGCCAGCTTCCAGAGGGAGGTGGAGTGAGGAAGGGGTGCGGGGGCCAGGCTCCTGTGAGCTGCCTGGGTGGGGATCGCCTGGGGCACCTCCGTCACACAGACCCAGACTCACAGGGGACACGTGGACGCCCCCAGTCTGTACGTCCTGAGTCACCTGGGTGGGGTCAAGGTACTCAGAGAGGAGTCAAGCCTGGGGCCGGGTTGGGGCTGCTCATTCTGGTGCTCATTCTGGCCTTTTCTGTCTCCCCTGCAAGACACAGCACGGCCGGACGGTGCTGGAGGTGCGCACCCCAGTGGTGGAGCAGCTGCCGGTGCTGGATGCCTCCTTCTCAGACCTGGGGGCCCCCCCGAGGCGAGGAGGGGTGCTGCTGGGCCCTGTCTGCTTCATGGGCTAGGACCTTCTCGTCGGACCTGCCCGTTGCCCCCAGGCCCACCTGGAATCACACAGCATCGGCTCTGCGTCACTTCCTTCCCGGGGCTCCTCACCATCGGGGCCTTGCGCCGGGACACTGAGAGCCCCCCAGTCAGGGGCGGTCAGGGGAGGGGCGATGCTGGGTGCTGGGGATGCCCCAGGGGAGGGTGGCATCAGTGGCTCCCGGCCCTCCCAGCTGGAGCCTGTGACCCGTTAGAGAGCTGAGACCCTTATTTAAAACTCACCTGCCAATCACCCCAAACAAGTGGAAGAGAAGAGAAAGGACACTGTGTATTTTGTATTTAAAAGTAATTATATTAATTATTTAAAGAGTGGAAAACACTATAACAAAAAGGATAAAGAGAGAAATGCCAACGGAAGTCCCCGATGTTGGAGACAGGCTCTCTGAGGGTGGGCCGCACCCCGACTTCGCCTCAGGGCCTTCCTCAGGGACTGTGTGTGTGGGGGTGGCTGGGTGAACCCCACCTCCCTCACACCCCCCAGTAGCACCCACTGTGAACGCTGGAACACACGGTCTCCTCAGGGCTCTGGCTCTCCCCTGGGTGGGGCTCCCTCACCCCGACCTGCCAGGGGTTGGCTCCCTGCCCTGACGCCTGCTGTCCTGTGTCACTTGGTCTGGGTCTGGCAGGACCTGGCTGCTACTTGAGGACCCGGTTATGCTCCCAGAGAAGACATGGAGTAGAGGGGCCTGCGTTCAGCAGATTCTTAAATACTGAGCTTCTTCCGTATCGGCTGGTAAATCTCTGTGGCCCTGAGCTCCTGAAGCGTCTCATTGTCATCCTGGTCATATCGGCCGTCCTCTGGACCCCTTCCCCGATCCTGCAATTAAAGGGTTAATGTGTGGCCCGAGGATGGAAGAGGACACCAGCAACCTGCCTAGCCGCCAGCCTTGTGTCCTGCTGACTGATGGTTAAATAATGTGATTGTCTGCTCCCGGGCCTGTGTGTTGCTACTTGTGTTGTTATTTCAGTGTCTCCCAGACCCATCCAGCTCTCCTCAGCTGAGGTGTTACCAGGAATGGACAGCTTCACCCTAACCCTGAACAGTCCAGAGCCCGTGAGCCTGGGTGGACCAAGCCACAAGCGGATGCCCAGATAGATGCCTGGGACATCAGAAGGGTTGAGTCCCTCTGGCCCAGGGTCCTGACACCAGTGCAGAATGCTGCCTGTGTGTGTGTGTGTGTGCGCGCACGTGCGCGAGTGTGCATTTTTTTTTTTTGTCTTTTCTTCCGGTACCAGGAATCGAACTCACGACCTTGCGCTTGCCAGGCAAGCGCTTTGCCACTGAGCTAAATCCCCAGCCCTGCGAGTGTGCATATGATTCCGCCTCAAACACAACCCCCTCGGAAGATCTTGAGGGGCTTCCGGGCCAGAAGGAACCTTTAGGGGATCCAGTCTAAACTTGCCAAGGTGGAGACAAGCCCACCTCTGACACGACGTTTCCTGCGCCACCGGGACCCTCTGGCCACCGGGTCCCTCTCCCTAGGTCCCACGTCCTTTCATAAAAGCCAGGGCTGCCTGCTCCGTTTGTTTAGGTCCACATTCTTCGAATATTCACAGCCCTCACCCCACCGCCTCCCGCCTGTTCCTTCCCAAGCTGCCCGTCTGACCCCGGCAGCTCGGGTCCTCTCTGGGTCAGGGTCCCCGGCCCTCCCGGTCCGGGCGGCCTCCCCGCCTCTCCCGGCTTCCCACAGCGAGGCGCACCGCAGGCGGCAGCTAAAGCTGCTCCAGGGCCTCGTCCCCGGCGGGCCCGCTCCTCCGCTCCTCCGGACCCTGGCTGCGGGGTTGGGGAGGGACGGAGGGGCCGCGTGCTCAGGTTTGCAAGCATCGGGTTTCGCTCTGCGACCTCGGGGCGACCCCAGCCCGGGAGGCAGCGCCCGTGACTCCTAGAGCCTCTCTCGCGGATCCCCGACCCCACCGCCGCGGAAGTCCCTGTCCCCGAGGTCTAAACCCTGGGGCGTTCGGGCCTATTCATCCTTGATCCCAGGAAGCCTCCCGAGGCGTCCAGGAGCCCGGGTGCGCGGGTCGGTGTGCGGGAGGCTCCGGCGCAGGTGGGGACCCCGCCCGCGCGCGGGCGCCCGGCTCGGCGCATCTTCCTGCCTCTGCCGCCCCCTGCTGCCGGCCGGTGCCAAGGCCTCCGCCCGTACCCGGCAAACCGGACAATCCAAGTCCCCCGGACGCCCCTAAACCTCTGCCCTCCATCGTCACCCCCGGAACCCTTAGTTTCACTTCCGCCAACCCAGGAGGAGACCGGGTGGAGAGGAAGCCCGCTCCTCGCCTGTCGCCTGTTGGGTCCGGAGGTGGGCGGGGGTGCGGGTCCCCCAGCTTCCGTCTGCAGCCGCCCTCGCCGCGTCGGGCTTCGCGGGGAGACCGCGGGGTCCTAGCGAGGCGTCCCGCCCGGCCGGGCTGGGCCAGAGCTGCGGTCTCCGTCTCGCTGTCTCCGGCCTTGGTGTCCAACCGCAGAGGTCGTCCCCCGAGCACGAAGGTCACTGTTGATCCGGTGCTCTGGGCTCAGAGCTTTTCTCCGCGGAAACATGGCCATCGTCACTCGCATGGCATTTATATCCGGCAGCGGGTCCCCGGGCCAGTCCGCAAAGCCGGGCGGTGACTTCTCCCTCACCCTCTCTGGACAGCGGGGATCCGCCCCCTGGGAGTTTAGAGAGAGCTCCCGGAGGTGGGTTAGGGTGAGGCTGGGTGTGGGCGACACTGGTGGCCGCTCTGGGGCACTGGTGGAGGCGCCCACGGCTCAGGCAATGGAGGCTTCTCACTGGGCCCCTAGAGCAAGGAGAGAGAGGCAGCAGAAAGGAAAGAAATGCGGGGGCTGGGGATTTAGCTCAGCGGCACAGCGCCTGCCTGGCAAGCGCAAAGTAGTGAGTTCGATTCCCGGTACCGGGAAGAAAACAAACAAACAAACAAACAAACAAAAAGAAATGGGGGATGAAAAAATTAAAAAAAGGAGCGCAAGAGAGGTAGAGCCATTGGGGGAACTACTTTGGGTTGGGGCAGATCACAAACTCTTGGTGGAGGGGATAGGTTCTGCACCCTCTTAACTGCTTTTCAAACTTGAATCCCCAAAATAAGAGGAAGTGATTGAGGGTGCCCGAGAAGGAGAATGACGGGATAGAATTTTGCTGCGAGGCCTGACCTGACTGGGCTCCATGGGAGAGGACAGGACGCGGGCACACAGCCAGCAGGGGGTTTTCCTAGCTTAGGAGGTGGACAGTGAAATCACAGAGGGGGTGCCCTCTGGCCTGTCCTGACCTTGGAGGCTGCTGAGCTTTTGTTTGCTGTTTTTGGCATTCCTGACTTGGGGTAAAAAAGAAATAATGTGTACACATGGACTCCTTAGTTTAAGTCACTGTCCCTACCCCCGGGAATGTTCCATACCCAGGAGGCCACGGGGTGCAGAGCGGTTCTCCCCCTCCCCTGGCCGCATTGCACTCTGGGAAGCTTTGAATGCGTGGGGTAGGGGGGGTGGGGCGAAGAGAAAGGGTCACCAAGGGTCCCTCCGCCTCAGAAAGTCCTGTGTGGCAGGGGTGGGGCCCCTTGCTCAAGTCTGGCGCAGTCAGCAAGGACTGTCAGAGCTGTGCAAGGACTTCTTCCTGGCCAGCTGTGCATTTCAGAGTCCCGAGTCTGCTGGAAAGAGCAGAAATCACCCCTGGCTTTCTGTTATCTTCCTTTGCATCTTTAGGGCATTTCCTGGGAGCTGCCACTAGCAGCAGGCTCATCTTATTCGGGTAGACCTGTCCCATTCATTCCTGAATGATGGACAGGGGCATCTGTCGGGGCACATCCTTCAGGGCCACCCTGAAGGCCAGACAGTGGGATGCGCGCAACTCTCAGCCACAGCAGGAGCCGGGGTGACCCTGGCCTCCCTGGGTTGGTGGGAACCTGTCAGTTTACTGTGTTTGTTCACCCGGCCTCTCTTCCTGTTAGTAGCATCTTACTTCCAGGCTGAAGTCCTTGTGGTTCCTGAGATAAAGGTGGATAAGGGCCATGTTGCACGCTCTGCAGGTCTCAGGAAGCTCGTGTTCCAGGCTCCACCTGTAAGGGGCTCTGATTCCGTAGAGACTTAGGCTGAAGCACGTGGGGCATGGTGACATATTCCTACGGTGTGTGAACGTCTCCCCAGGGAGATCAGCTAGTGGGCCTATTCTCCTCGCTAAATAAGGTTTCCCTCTGTTACTTGTGCAGGAGAGATTCCTTACAGCTCTGTCACTTTTCAGTGGCTATTTTTATTAATGCTTGTAGGTTTTCTTTACTTTTCAGTACTGCACATGTACAGAAGCAAATGAAACCCCCAAACTAACGAACACAGCTTAGGTGTATAAGGCTTACAGAGATGGGACATGGCACCATGTTTTATTGGAACCCTAGGGACAGGGAGTTAGATAAAAAAAACCAAAAACTCTGAGTGGCAGATGATCTGGGTTTGGTAGGGCTGGGCAGACTTAGTACTGATTGTACCGATATTAGTTGGCAAAAGGCCTCTCTTTTCTTCTCTTATCTCCTCCCTTCCCCTCCCCTCCCCTCCCCTCCCCTCTGTCTGAGACAGAGTCTCATTCTGTAGTCCAGGCTGGCCTGTTCCTGCCTCAGCCTCCCAAGTGTTGGGATTACAGGTGTGCACCACTACGCCTGGCCCTTCTGCAGTTCTAGCAAGGGCTTTTTCTCCATTTAGTTTTGCAGGGGCCTCTCCCCTCTAGCTGGGTTGCAGGGTAACACTGGTTCTCATCTGCAAAGCGGGAGGAGACTTGCTTTGTACATGGAGACTCCTCCACTGTCAGCATGGGCACTGGGAAGGGGAGGGAGGGAACCCGGCCGACCACGTTGGTTCTGTCTTCACACACCGGGGACCACAAGTTATAAACTGACACAGTATCTGCCTGCAGCCCTGCTTGCCCTGCCTGGAACTCGGAAATCCACTTCCTCCTCGTCACAGGCTATCCTGATGGTCAGTGACGCTGTAACGCTCACAGCATAGGATGAGGTCTGCTGGGGATGAATCTTAACTTGTTTTCTTTATTATATATATATATATGTCTTTTTGTGACAGGGTCACCCTATGCAGTTCAGGCTGGCCTTGAGCTCACTTTGTAGCCCAGGCTGGTCTCAAACTCACAACAATCCTCCTGCCTCAGCCTCCCGACTGCTGGGATTACAGGCGAGCACCACCACGCCCGGCTATGATGTTAAACTTGCCCACTCAACCACTACTTCTCTGCTGCTCTAGGAAAAGCACCGTCCCCCACCCACTGCACTGACTAATAAAATAGTGGCTAGCGGGAGAGCCTGGGTCTTTTTTCCCAGAGAACATTGATCATCTCAGAGTCCTGTTTCTTTGCAATTTTTGTCTTTTGCTCTTTCTCTCTCACAGTGCACCATAACTGGACAGGAGACTGGGGACTCCCTGCAGGGGTCCCTGATAACTGGTGCAGTGGAAAGGGTCACTGATATTCATTCACACTCGGGTTTTGCTGTCTTGCTGCGGTCCCTTTACACTTCTGATCTGAATGCTGTCAACATGCCATACTTCTTAATTTTTTGTTTATTCCTAGCAAAGTCTGATTCAGAACAAAGCTCCAAAACTGTTCATTGTGAAAATGTTGTGGTTTCTCAGAACTCGAAGGAAGGGTTGACTCACTAGGTAAAAGGGAAAGCAGTTCTGGGGACGTTGGGGTTCACCCATTTGATCCCTGGAGTGTGGCCGTGAACACCGCTTGGCAGAGATACTCTCACTCACCCTCGTGTCCCCGGTTTCCCAGTTCAGGCTCCTGGGGTGCCATCTGATTGGCCTGTCTCGGTCACTGGTCTCCCTGAGAGCCAGTGTTCCATGGCTGGGGGTCCAGGGTAACAATACCAGCACCACTTATGTGGAGGAATGCTCATCGCTACTGTGCTGGGCCTTGAAGGAGCCATCTGGTAGCAGTTGCAGATGCTTT